GCTCCGACTCCTCCTCCTTCTCGCCGCCGGGATTGAGGCCCACCCGGCGGGGATCCTGGTCCAACAAGGGCTACTAGCCAGCCAGCCAGGTGTCTCGCTCCCATTTTGCCTTGGGCCTTACTTCTTGGACCCTGAAAGCAGCCGTGGCGATTATTGGTCTAAGACAGAGAGCGGGGAGACTGGAATGGCCATTTCTGGCTTATTAGCCATCGTCAGGCAGTCATACCCAGACCCAAGTGGTGCACCATGCGAGCCTCGAACTCGTGTCGTTTTAATCAGAGTCTAACGCCCTAACAATTGAGCCACGAGATCGTTGTCTTGTCAGTTTAGGTCGAAAGATATTGACACTCGTTGGTGGACGTTCACCGACGGCTAACGGAACTCGCTTGTCTTGGGCTTTCTAACTCTTAAAGAGGTCCTCTTTCAGAGATAGGAAGCAGCAACTAAAAGGGGGATAATTATAATGGACATACGCTAATCAACAGTTAGAGGTCGTCAAGGGGTAAGAAACAGCAACCAAAAATGAGGGGGGGGGGACAATTATAGTGGCATACTGGTTGCTGCTTGTTATCGATGAAGATGGACTCCTGTAAGAGTTCGAAAGCTCAGAAGAATAAACAAACAGCTCCGGTGCTCAAAATGTATTTCTCTTCATCCATATGAATTCCTGGAAAGCAAACGTTTCCATTCATTGGTACATTGAGTATGTTTGTAGCACTGCTTTAACTCACGTATGTAGCTGTCTACCGCTCTTTAAGTGTGCATTATAGACTACCCGAATTGACGCAGCAGGACGCGTGTTCTCCAGCCTCCGGAAGTGCTTATGGACCCGACGCGATATATCTATCTCAACTAAGGTCCGCGTGTACCATGCATCTGTGCGGTCCGTTCTCTGACTTGAAACCATTGCCTAGTTGGAAACGTTGAAGAGGGGGTCAACTCAAAACCTGGCTCGGCTCAGTCCGTCAGGACATGGAAGTGGTTCTCGGAGATTCGGTATTCAGACTCCCGCGCTGGCAAAGAGAACGGGTCGAACTGTCCAGGTCTGCGGCCACAAATCGTGGCGCGTGGAGAAGCACCATACGGGACATAATTAAGGCCGGCTAGATCAGTCACGATCGCAGCCGTAACAAGTACAAGTAAGTAAATACCAGCCATTTTTCTGTTTTTTCCCAAACCCTCTGCCCAACTCGTTTAAGGTTCACAAAGTGAGGGGTTTCAATTTTCCAAACTTATAGTTCTCACACTTCAATCCTAGAACTCTCAACTTTGCGAATTTGAGATGAATTAGCAAAACCTCTGGCAATGGTATTCACAGCCTTCAATTTTAACGGTATTGAGGTCCGCGATACAGTGAAAGGCCACACAACCCGAGAACTTTCAGCGAATTGCCAGGACCGGAAAGAACATCACTTTAAGTACTGGAATTCACAAACGCTGTGCCACTAACTCGTCTGGTTGACATTCAGGATATCTCGCAGAATTTTGTTTTCTGTTTGAAGATTTGAGACAACTGATCTGGAGATGTTCAAACAGTATCGAAGACCGGACAATGCGCGTTAACGAACTAGCCGGAGACCCTGACGGAGAGTTTCAAATCAACCTACTGGCCTCCTCACGTTACGCTCACTAAAATGCATCAAGCTCTGTAAAAGAACTAGGCGAAAACGTGATATGTCCTAAAACCGGCATATTCATGGATTGGCCTCCTTACAGAAGCTAGTAGAGACTTTACTCGGAATAAAATATACAGCTGATACCGCCACAGTCTTGAAAAATCCGTATTTGGTGTCTTTTCAGGGACGAGGGAACCTCGAAATGTGTAATGAAGGGATATTTTATTATAAACAGAAAAAGACCTCGGATAAGATAGAAAACTCAAGTAATTATGCGTCAAAATACCTACAGAGTAACCACTACGAAGCATTTCTAACTGCTCGTGTCTAATTAAGAAAAGTAGGAGCACCAATATCAAAGACAGTCAGGGCGCGTGGACTGCACAATCAGCCATCCCGCTATATTTCCGCACCAGTCGGCCCGGGAATGGATAGTTCAACCTGTCCTTGGGGATTCCCTTGCCGCAGTGCTACGTTGCCAGCCCTAGTAGGGTAAACAACGTACGAGGAAAGCGAGCATTTTGCGCCCAACAAAACTGCACCATTCCATGCCTACCTAAATAATATAAGTAGCCAAATAAATAATAATCAAAACTGTGTTCTGCTAATAGATACCGGTCCTACAATCGGACTAAGTCGACGACACAGTGTCGCCACCCAGTGTTTTCTAACATAAGATATTCACTTTAGAGGAGCTGTGTGGTACACTCCTAGCTGCAGAATGATACTACGGTCGCGGTTGTAGGTTTGGGGAAGTGTTCTGGGAGGCTAAAAGGCTTCCAGGGCCTTTGAAAGATATTGCAAAAATAAAAGTTGCAGGGCTTACTTCACAAACGGTATGACGCAGTAGAACATGGTCGGTTTGAGTTTCATGGTAATCATCGGCGTTTCATCCTGTACATGGGCCGGCAGATTGGCAATGTTGAACCAGGTTATTGCCTAGACAGAAAAAAATGAGTTCATATAAGCATCGGACGACAGATCTGCGATAGCAGTTAGAAGGGAAAATATGGAATTCAAGTAAGCGCTGCTAGCTCATCGACGGGAAGCCAAGAGGATAACTACGAGGCCGGAGAGGACACGTAAACTCACAGTTTGTGACCGATACCATGAGAATTAAACCGAAACTCAGAAAGGTGTCTTCGATTAGGCGAGAATACCTAAGTGGGGTTAGAAGATCGATGAGCGGACAGCATAATCCCAAGATGTTTCATTCACGTTAAAATGCCGGCTTTCCATTGCGCCTTTTTTTCAGTCACTTGCAGAAACCGCACTCACCATGCCAGGGCACTACATCAGGAAGCCTGTCGTTAGGAATACTTAAATTGACGTGGAGGTGAGGCTTCATCAGGCTGATTGTAGGAAAGAAAGCATGAGTGACCTGTTTTATATTGGCTGTTTTATATTGGCTTTGTTTTATATTGGCTTTGTCGGTATTGGCTTTGTTTTATATTGGCTTTGTCGGTATTCTAATTTGTGAGTAAGTCTTCCCGGCGAACTCCTATTACTTTTTCCGCCAAGAGGTCCATTTGTGAATCAAAAATTTTAGTTGCATTGGTAGCAAAGCCAATCGAAACAGCACGAGTAAAGGCTTTCAATGCAACACAGTCACAGGACTTGCCTCAATTTCATTCTTCGTTGAAGGTTGCAGACGTGAGGTCCGAGGAAAACCCTCAACGATGAAGGCACGACGTTTTGTTTCACCGAGGAAGGCGTCAAAAAAGAGATTCTCGTTCATACGGTGTTCAATATCCAGGCCCGTCTCTTCCATAACCTTTTGTGGGACAGAGCAAGTGCAAACTTAAACAGGCGAGGGAACACGACTTTAATTAGCTCAGACCGAAAGACCACAGGTGTCTGAACTTAAGCATACGAACAACGTTTCACTGCTTTAAATCTCTTTCCCCTCCATTATAGACAAGACAAAGGTAACCTTATAGCAACGTTTTAGTTACAAAGGGGAACTGATTTGGATGCCAAGTGGGAAGATTTCTTTCAAACGGCCCCGAGAAGGAACCTTAGAAGACACGATTGACAGTTGAAGAAAGAACTGAACCGCACAAACCAACGTTCGTTCGACAGTGAGACTCCTTACCAGAGTCTGTTTTGCATTCACTCACTGTGAACGTGTTCAACAGACGTCTGAATAATCATCTGTTGAAGGTCATTGCAAACCTTTAAACC